ATCAGCAGTCAGTCAGTTTACCAGGAACAAAAGTAACAGATTTGATAAACAACGTAGAAGCCTTTTGTGTAAAGCACAAGGTTTCTTGGTACGATTGGGAAAAACTTCTGGGTCTGTTGAATTTTGCCACAATAGTGGTTCCATTGGGAAAGTTAAGGAAAAAGCAACTATCACAAGACAGGAGACATTGCGACTTGAAGGTTGCTTTGTTCTCTCCTATTTAGATGAGCGTCATCTGCTGGTGGACAAAGCTGGGACAATCTAATGGTCCCTCTCTGGGTTCCACCTCAAAACAGGATTTTGAGTGGATTTTGTACAGATCGTTAAAATAGGATAAGGGATACCATTCTTCAAAAATTCAATCAAGGAAAGTGGAGCAACTTTCTTTGGGATAAACACAAATGTAAAAAGTGCTTAAGTGGTCCTATTCTTTTGCCCAAGGCAAACTGGAAATTTACAAAATATGGCGATCCTGTTTGCCACTGGACCAACAAAAGCGGCAGTGTTTGTCTCAATCTATCAAGGTCTATGGATTCTTGGCCCTTCACAACTAATAAGAACAAATTTTCCGGTATTTGGCCACCTTCGTACCACTTTACCTCAAAGCAACTTATATACAGAATTTTAACAAATTGAGCAGAATCACTTTAACATATGCATTCTCGGCCGTATCGTGAAACAGGATGGTCCTAGAATTATGGGTTTAGGAGTTGATGGTTTTGGGGCTGGGTGGATCGACTCTATGTTACAAAGTCCCATCTGGAAAGGTCAAATCTTTGGAAATGCCTCACTCTTGATTTTCTGGACGATTTAAATCTATCATTCCTTCCCTGTGAAAATATTACTTAGTGGTTCACAAACTCAAGTCGCCGAGGCGAGTCCTCTTAATTGCACCATATGGATCTACAACCTTGGTGCCTGGATCTACTAGGACTGATGCGAATCCTCTACAATTGCAACAAGGATCTCTAGACCAGGTACTACATTCTCAGTTAGGCTCTCCTATAGCTTCTGCAGCTTGCGGGTTTCTCAAAAAAGTTTAAATAGGTTGTTGAGAGCCAATTCCGATACATGTTTAATCACGAGTAGCAGGTCATAGACCCCAAGCTTTCTATTCATATACGAAAGCTTGGAATCTTTTCAACAATTTATCAAGTTAACAACTCAGTTCATTATGGAAACAGTGAATTATTTAGAATTTTTGAATTCTATTCAGGTTAAAGGCGCTAAGGATTTCGACAATTGCATCTTATAAATAGCGTTAGGACATTTTCTGGCGGGGTTTTAATATTACTGAACCCCAAGAGTTTATCAAATGCTAGATTGTCCTTTTCATTCAGAGAGAGACCTCCTCAAGCCCAAAGAATCACGCCTTGAACCACTCTGGGAAATAGTTCACTAATCTTCTTATAGGGGGCCCTAATTGCAATATAAATCTAGACAGGGATAAATTGCTCCAGAAGGCGGCTTTCCGCTATTAGCCGCGAAACGGGTATGAGAATCAGTAGACTGATTTCCATTTCCAATAATCAAAATAAATGGCCCAGGTATTTTTTCTGATGAGGATGTTATCCTTTTCCTCACGAGGAGATCCTAGAAAAATAGAAAGGAAGATTTCCATGCTCAACCTAATGAGACAACCTCTAATAATGGATGAAACTAGGGTTTCTCACATATTGTGTCCAGTTAAAATCTTTAGGAATAGTTAGCAGATTCCTAATAAGAGGCCCTTGTTTTCTCATCAGGGATGGTAAGAAATTATCTCTAGTCAAATGGCAAATCCTTATCTCTACTTAATTAGTAAATGACAGACCCTGGCAAAATATTTGCTTTGCTGACACTAGGAAATATGCAGGGTTTAGCCTGGCCTTTCATAAAACATATGAGTCTCAGTCAGGATCAGAGTGCAGACTTTGGAGATCCTTGGCTTTTTCCGAACGGCTATGCAATATAAGTTGTCATGGTGGTGCTGGATTCCCCTCACCATGCAGTCAATAATCTACTTTTCTGGGACCTTCTTCCTCCATTAGAATAAGTGACATCTTTTGAGGTAAATTAACATTTTGCAACCTAGGTAAATATTTCCTAATTTCAAATGTTCAAAACAGTTTACATTAGGGTGTACTGCTTTCAAATGAATCCTACTAGAAAGATTCTATATGACAGTTTACTATAAAATTAGAGAATGCAGGCATAACTCTACAATACAAACACTTTGGATGAATCAGGACTAACTGCGAAATGTGAATATTGTTGTACATGACCCACAACAAAATGATGGGTACCATCTTTTAATACCTCATTGTATGGCAATCCACCACTGTTATTTGAAATTCGTCTTTGATGAAATATGAGTTATTTACATATATTTTGTTATACAAGTGTACAATTATGGCACGTAGATCGTCCAAAGCTCAGTGAAAGCTCTGCTTATGACTTAAAGAAGGAAATCATAAAAGCATTGAGGAATGGAACCAGCATTGCAAAACTTAGTGGTAGATATAGGATGGCTAATCTAGGCCCCTATATATAAGATTTTTGAAGAATAAAACAGAGTTGGCTTGTACTTAGAAGTATTTCAAGAATCTCCGACTTAGCTTAAAGCAAGGGTATGTGACACAGGGGGCCAGAGGAAAATTTACTGTTGAGTGTGGATAAAGGGAAGAAAAGAAATGGCAGGTGATATAGCATTAGTGGAAGCTATAATTTTGTTAGAGAAGGCCAGACAATTGTTTGAGGACCTTAAGCCGAGACTCGAAATTAGGAAGTAATCTAAGTGATATACAGTGTTTAGAGAATTTTCCGAAAGAGGTGGTTTGCTGGTTTCTCAGAAAATAAATTACACAATGTTGTGAGACATGGTGATGCTGCTAGTAGATAAAGGGAAGCTTAGCCTAAGAACACCACTGACTGTTTTTAAACCTTGATTAAATAGGGGGCTTTGTTTTCAATGGTATTCAGCTGTGATAAAACTGGACTTTTTGGAAGAAAAATGCCTCGCCCGTACATACATTACAAGGAGGAAACTACTGCGCCCTGGCCTTAAGCCAATGAAAGACAGGCTTACCCTCAGCTAACATTATGTCACTTTGGTGGCTGGGTCAAACCACTCTTAGTAGCACCATGCAGAAAACCCCAAGACTTAAAAGCAGTAGGAAGAACCGCCTTGATTGTTACCTTCGGTCCAAGCCACGAGGAAACCCCAGGTGACCAGAAGTCTTTTCACTCCTCCATTGGTGATTGAGGTGTTGGATCAGTGTTGGGGGAATACCTCAGGAGAATAATCTTCACTAGAAAGCTCATTGGTGTTTTAATGCAGCCCACCTCTCTAATTTGATGGTTGGTGCAGAAGGTTCAGCAATCACTGTACTTCTTACCCACCCAACACAACACCCTCTCATCCAGCTACATAGGATCAAAGAATTAATTTCAGAAGCTGTACACAAAGGCACTGTTTAGAAAATCTTTGTGTCACTTCTTCCCAGTGATGCCGGATTTGAAGGAATTTGGAAGGAGTCCTTGCAATATAAGCAAATTTTCATTTTTAGTGAGTCAATGGAAAGAGTTTACTGTGAGGGTGTCTTTGTGCTGTGAGGCGTGTGGCCTGAATCTTAGTAAGGGCTTTGAAGGCTTTGAAGGATGAGAGGAAAGAGGCTGTTGTACGCCGGTATGACTCTCGGCAATTCCAAACTGGGCTTGGCCTGGAAGTGGATGATGATGATGAGTTGGTGGAAGAGCACGGTGGAGCTGTGTCACACCGAGGCTTCTTGGAAGGCTTCACAAGAATAGAGACGCTGAAGCAGGAGCTTAGCCGAGGTGGGAGGATAGGGAACCAAGGAGAAGGCATGGTTCCGGTAAAAGATCTCAAGGATGTGTTCTTTTGCTGGAGCAAACTGTCTAAGCTTGCGGAGGATTATCATCCTGATGTTGGTTCTGTGGAAAAGGCCATCAGTGTGTTTAATGACAATGTGATGAACTACTTTTGGAAGGTCCAGAAATCAAGGTTGAAGCAGCCAACCCTGGATTCCTTCTTTAAAAAAGGAGCAAAAGACCCTACAGACAAAGTGCCTGTAAGACAGTCACCAAAGAGGGCTAGGAAGGATGACTCCTCTCCTTCCACCTCTTCTCCATAATTCTCTCCTCCCCCCTCCTCCTCTGCCTCCTGTCCTGCAAGCTGAACAACACTATGGTAAGATAAAGTACCATATTTTTTACATTTTCCACAGAAAATTTTCAGTGTTAAGTGGTTGTATTTGGGGGCCTGGGACGGATTAATCCTATAATGAACGAATGCTATAACGAACGAGGTTCTTGAACCAATTAGATTCGTTATAGCATACCCCACTGTATATTATAATCAGGACCTCAGTCAGCGGAGCCTTGTATGCAAAGTCACCTCCCTCTCCACCTCCTACTAAGGTATTCTTGCTGACATCGCATTCAGAGCTTGAGCAAAAAGCCTTTTTTTCTATAAACCAGTTTTTGTGATATAACTCGAATGCGACGTCCATAACCCACCCATCTCCACCCCTCGAGAGCTGACTTTTAATTACTGCTCTCTCTGAGGCAAGAGATGAGCTTCGCGATGCGCAAAGTGGCGGGGTGAAGGAAGGGCTTTGAAAATAGCAATTAAATGCCAGGTAGCAACGTGTCCTCCTAATATTACTTATTAAGTAATTATTAGATGCTTTAATTGCCTGTATGTTGGCCTGGCGAATTGGCTAGGAATTAACAAACCTAGGTAGCATTTGCTGACGTCGCATTCGAGCTATATCACAAAAACTGGTTTTAATAAAAAACTTCCAAATTACTGTAGATGGTTCACAAACGAATAATTTAGAAATAAATATGGAAACATCTACACCTGAAAATGCTTTACCTTTCTTTACTCTCACTTTCCAACCCAGCATACTCGTACTTCTCATTACACACATCTACCACAGCGCTCTCATTCAAAATACATGACAATTCTATGTCATTAAAATAAAAAATTTCAGGACTTACCTATTGTTCTAGGTGTGCACTCATCTATCTGCACAGCATCCTGCAACAACCAAATAATTATGAGATTAATAGTGCTAAAATATGCTGCATAAGAAAAAATTGTGTATGCCAAACACTTGATCCAATTACAGGTACTCCCTGACTTACGACCTACTCGACTTACGACCACCCGGAGATACAACCGCCGTAGTTGTACAATTTTTGTTTCAAATTATGTATTTTCGAGTCCCAACGTTAGAGATCGCGCTGTGTACTGACAAAATTTTCGTTTGTAATTCCCTTCAAAATGGCTGATAAGCTTAAAAGTGAGAGTTTTGGGGTGCTGAGAAGAAGAGACACCCATTTTAGATTTTCTATTTATTATTTTCGCATTTTCGACTTACTACCTGGTTGTCGGTCCCTAACCCCGTCGTAAGTCAGGGACTGACTGTATTTAATATTACAGTAATGTATTATGAAGAAAATTAAACAGGACAAATTATAATAATGTTTATAAATGTTATTACTCATTCTCATTGCCACTTTCCAGTTTATTAAACAGACAAGCAGTCAGCCTGTTCTGCACTTCCGGCAATTACAGGGAATACAGGTACACTTTTTTTGAGTGTGTACATTATCTCAAAAAATTACCTGCCAGGATGGGTTTGAGGACTTCCTAAATGCTACATGCAACTCGTAATGTCCCGGGAGGCCTGGTAGGGGGAGAGCTAGGAGATTGTAGCCACAGGGACAGGCGAACTTGGCAACCTGCCAAGTCTGCACACACTTATACACTTCACACACATACACACCCATCCTTTTCATTTTTCTTATTTTATAGCAATGTGCCATCTTCAAGGAGATGTACTGTAAAATTTACATTACTAATTAATTTATATTAAACTTTTTATAAGCATTTGACTCAAATTTAATTATAATTGTTTAATAAAGTAACAGTGATAAGTTCTATCTGCGGCCATGGTACCTAACCCTCTATTTCCCATAAGCCTTCGTCTTGCCAACCATGGGGTTTTTCAGGAACCTAACCCACTGGTGGTGAGGGACTACTGTACAGTACAGTCTATTTCATCCATGAATTATTAAATACATTAAAGCCCCTTATACATTCTAGCAGAATGAAAAATATCTTACCATGTCTGTGATGCTGGGATTTGATTTCTCAGGTAAACTTGGAGTAATGTAGTTACAGTTAAAACAACCAAAGCCACTTTCCATCAATTGCATGTGTGTAATATCTTGTGTATTAAACTGAAAGTAACAAATTAAAATATCTTTAGTGAAAAAATTTTCAGTTCATAACACAGGCAGACACCAATTTATGAGGATTTGATTTACATATATTTGAAGTTATGGAAAAAATATATTCCCATGCTCTGATTTACAAGTGAAAAACCCTAAATTTACAAAACACATTTCATTAGTAACAGCTAATGAATATATTTTTGATGTGTCAACAGTCTCCTACAACCACCATATAACTTAACCCTCACTCGTGAAAACAAGTAAACTCAACACTCCCACCACCACCACCACCGTCACCGAAATAGTTGCCCAACTTTCCAATGTCACCTCATTTATTCTCAAGTAATATGTGAGAACTTAAATAAAAGAAAAGTTTGCTACTTTCTTGATTTCATATGCTAATTATGTACAATACAGTTGTCGAGTTGTAAGAGAAAGTGTGGAATTTGCTAGTGATGAAATATTTGGAGGTACCGACATTTCTGTCAATGCACCTGGAAGAGTGAGGAGTATCAGCTGCTGAGCTGAGATGTTAGCTGATGGCTTTGTGCCAATGTATGTTTTGACATTTTTTATCCAATGGCTTTAATCCCTTCATTCCTCAGATGCCACTATTAATATTTTATTTGCCTAACACCAGACGATTTTATTCAGCTCTGAAGGGTTAAGGCCCATGTTGAAATCAGTGCTGTGGAATTTTCAGTTCCTCACAGTCTGTTATTGGTGTGACCTATTCACTTCAGAAGGAGTTATACTTGCACCTTCACATGTTCATTAAACAGATAAGTGCTGATCTCTGTGTATTCTTATACGATGCAGTCCGAGATCCTGGTTTCAAGGAAGTGTGCTTGTACCTCCATATTGCAAGATATGTACTAAACCCAAACAAGATGCAGTGTGTGTCCACAGTCCACTGCACAAAGCCCAGAGTTGCTTGCTCCTAAGTAATTTTGATACATTTTATCTCAGGTTTAGGAAAACTATACCATGTTGTGAAGTGGATTTACGACATAGTCTGAGTGATTTGTCTAAAGGTTAAACCCAGGTTTAAAACCAATGACTCATGACAATACTTTACAAGTTGTCAAGTAAATGATGTCGGTGATAAAATTATTTTGAGTATATACTGTACTTTACTTTATCCTCATCACCACAGATCAGCTCATTTGCCACTTAGGCAGTCAGTCACGTGTGTGTTGCACATTCTTGGCATTCTCCGCAACATCTGTATGGAGGAGTGAATAGCTTCTGGCATGCCATTAATGAAGCAAACAAACAACAACAGGCCCAATACACTGCCCTGTGGTATCCCGCTTGTCACAGGTACACATGATGATTTCGTGTCTTTAATCACCACACACTGCTTGCGATCGTGACGAAAGTCTCCGATCTATACTAGGACATTTCCCCGAATCCCTTACCCTTCAAATTTAATTCTCAGTCTTTCATGGCAAAATCTAGGTATATATTATCCAAACATCCAGGACCTTGAGTAATTGTGCTAAGCGGGAGCACCCCGGCCTAAAGCCGTGTTGGCAGTCATTTAAAGGGTTGTTTCGTAGTATTGTACAGCGTATATGTTCAATCATGGCATCTCTTAAGATGCTCTCTAGTATTTTACATACTATGCTGGGAAGGCCCACTAGTCTATAATGGAGTGACGATCGCCCTTCTTGAATGAAGAGCTCACATAAGTCAATATCAGTCATTGTGAACCTATAGATCATCCAGGCATTTACAGAACAGGATCTTAAAGGGCTCAGCAAGCTCATTGCACAGTTCTCTTAATACTCTGGGGTGTACCATAAAAGGGCCGGGAATCTTATGAATCGTTAGCTTTGACAATTTCTTTCTCACACACTCTTCTGAGAACACAATGTGGGTCAGCACTATGTCAAACCACCTTTCCTCCAACGCATGAAGATTTGTTCAACGCCGTGTCCTGATCAGAATCTGCATAACTACCACCTTCAAGCCTCCAGTCCGATATGCCTACTTGTGTTTTTAATTTAGGCTGTGTAGTGATAAAAAGCCTTTGGGGGGGGGGCACTGATGCCAACCGCTGGACTCTCACATTTCAATTCTGAGGAAGAATTCACCCCTTGCTGAATGGCTTCCCTTTTAATCACACCTACTACCTTGTAATCTAAGTGTACTAAGATGTGACGTGATCATTCCCTTGTGGCAGGATTTATTATTTTAAAAAATCACTTGGCTGTCCTACTGGGTCTTTATGTCACTGGCACCCTCGTTCATCCAGTGTCGCCGTCCAAGACACTATTATTTACTCTCATTAATTTCCACTTCTCCTCAACAAATTGGTAATACTATGTACTATCACTATGTACACTGTATCTCCCTATGTGTGTGGTGGATCATATGCACAGTTACAGCCCTTTAGAAAACACACACAAAAAAAAACTTTCTTTGTGGCACCAATAATGTGTCTTGGTAACATGACTGACTTAGAACCCAGGAAACCAGAAAGTTTTCAAAAAACAGTTTGGCCTTGGTTCTAAGGGTACAGATTTGAGGGTCTGTTACACATACTGGTAAGTATCAATAACTTTTTCCCCAAACTGATTTGCCAACAAACTTTTATACTCAATTCATTAAGATCAATAGCCCAATACCTTTAGTATTTCTTCCATGATGTTTGTGAGACAAGAGCCCTGCAGAACAGCATTGTAGAGTGCAGATTTATCAACAGGCAACTCTTCCCCTTCACTTTTAATTATTTTCTGGAGAAAATATGGAGATGGATTAGATTCAGTTGTAAACTTATATTCAGGGGGTTATATCATTTACATCTCAACAGCCAGCCAGATGTCATACCTACATTGTTTTCACAAATGTTTTTCCCTTGGCTGGGGAATGCTTTAGTAAAAACTGCCACCAATCTTAAAACACTAATTAACTGAGATAGTTATATTTAAAATTACTACCTGTACTGTAATCAAAATAATACAATCACTTTATAATCCAACTTTTTTCTTGAATTACAAACTATAGTTTTCAATCCATCAAACAACAGGCAGTCCCCCAGTTTACAATAAATTCAAAGTTAGTAAAAAAAATTACAATTCTGAAATTAAAAAAAGTTATAGAAATTTTCCTAATTTTTTGTATCAACACGTACCGAGGTCTTGACACAGGCATCTCAAATCTTCCTATGCTGGACCTGGTCAGTTTTTTAAAACAGTTAAACCAAAAAATACATACAGTACAGTACACTGCTCCCTTGCTTAATATGTGGGTTGCATTCCCAGAAAATGCAGTGTAGGGTAAACCTATTATAATACGGCGAGATGGAGGATACGTCAGGTGGACCCAAAAATCCCCCCTCCCACACACACACACACAACAACAAAAACACTCCAAAAACCAATGTTCAAAAACATTGTACAGCCCTTAAGTAACTCAACAATACACATGCAGTGCATGTATTTTTTTTTTCAGGGAATAGCCCACCCACGCACAGGTCACTGATCCACATCAGGACCTGGGGGCAAAAATGTCATAATAATAATACACAATAATAATAATAATAATAATAATAATAATAATAATAATAATAATAATAATAATAATAATAATTCATTAAACATTTTATGAAAACTACAGAAATAAAAGTAAAATAATAATATATTAATACAGGTCCACAATCCCCTATCCGCAATTCTGAAAAGCTCTGAAAACCAAAAGTTTTTCGTGGAGCATCACTTGTGCGCACGGCATTCCCAGAGTGATGCCGAACATGACCCGACGCAGCCAAAGCTTGACCCAACCAGGTGTCAGGCATCAGTTGTATCTCAGTGCTGCTACCAGTCACACGTGCTTCTGTTGCTCTCTGATATTTTTTGTGATTGTGTGATTTTCAGTTTAATTTCACTGTGAAAATGTCAAAAAGAGCTTCAGATACCCCTATGGGTCACAGTGAAAAGAAGAAATGGAAGCATCTCTCATTATTGATAGCACAGAAAGTGAAGTTATTACAGAAGCTTGATCATGGTGTGCCTGTGGGGCATCTTACTGGAGAATATGGTGTGGGAACTACCACTGTATATGACTTAAATAAACAGAAAGACAAGCTGTTGAAGTTTTACACTGACAGTGAATACCATAAACTAATGAAAAATAGGAAAACTTTGCATAGGGAAAAAAATGAAGGTCTTGAGTGTGTGCCAATTGTGTGGATTCGACATCAAAGAACGGAACGTATCCCACAGACTGGCTTGGCGGTCATGAAACAAGCTAGAATATACCATGAAGAACTGAACACTGAAGGGGAGTGTGAATATTCAGAAGGTTGACTGCAGAAATTTAAGAAGTGCCATGGTATAAAATATCTGAAAATCTGTGGTGAAAAAGGTTCTGCTGATCATGAAGCAGCTGAAAATTACAAATTATTACTGTGCAAATAGCCTGTTATACAGTAAGTCCTCACTTAACGTTTAACGCTCCGGTGATCCGATACTACGTCGTTTTACATCGTCACAGACTACTTTCTACAGCACATCACCCGCTCATTTGGTTGCGCTACGCTCTCTCGGCTCGGCGCGCTGCCCTCATTCGCGGAACGTCACAGTGTCCCCAAGCGACGCCAAGCCAGTCTCTGTTACGACTTCACATCATTCGTGTGTGCTTAAGTGTTTTGCTCTAAAAATGTACTCTAACCATTCGAAATAGCTTCCAAGCACCCATCAAGTGCTACTGATGCTAGTGTAGTGAAGAGGCAACGTAAGACCATTACCCTTGCTACGAAATGGCTTTATTAACCCTATTTGAAAAAGGGGAACGTGCTGTGGACATAGCCGCTGTGCTTGGTCTAACCCCCACAACAGTGCGTACTATCCGGACTGACGCTGACAAGATTAAGGTTAGTGCTGGAAGTGGTTCTTCTCAGACGACTCGTACTAGAAGCACTGTGATAGAGAAGGTGGAAAAGATGCTGGAAATGTGGATGGAGGACCAGAATCAACGCAATGCCCCTGTGAGCCTTATGGTTATTCAGCATAAGGCCACTTCCTTGTTTGATGACTTAAAAGGCAGAAGAGGGTGAAGGGTCGAAGGAAGAGACCTTTACAGCCAACCAAGGATGATTTCAACGATTTAAGCATCGTTATAACTTCCACAACATAAAGATGACTGGTGAAGCTACCAGTTCAAAAACGGTTGCTGCCGAGACATTCCCGCCAGAATTCAAACAGATTATCCAGGAAGGAGGCTACTCATCGAAGCAAGTCTTCAATGTGGATGAGACTGGTCTCTTTTGGAAGAAGTTGCCTAAGAGGACCTATATCTCCAAGGAGGAGAAAAGATCGCCAGGTTTGAAAGCGGCAAAAGATCGCTTGGCGCGAACGCTGCCAGTGACTTCAAGCTGAAGCCTATGCTGATTTCTCGCGCTGCAAACACACGGGCCCTGAAAGATTACTCTAAGGATCACCTTCCTGTCACTTACAGGGCAAATAAGAAGGCATGGATAACCGCCGCCATATTTAGCCAGTGATTGAACATGTACGCCGTCCCTGCACTGAAGGAATACTGTGCCAAGGAGAAACTTAACTTCAAAATTCTTCTGATTCTTGACAATGTTCCAGCTCATCCTCCCAATCTTGACGACTTGCATGACACTGTAAAAGTTGTATTCCTGCCTCCCAACACAACAACATTGATGCAGCCTATGGACCAAGGCGTCATCGCCACATTCAATGCGTATTATTTATGCCGTACCATGGCCCAGCTGCTCAAGGCTACAGACGGAGAAAACGAACCAACGATCCAAGAATATTGGCGTGGTTTCAACACTCTTCATGCAATTGATAACATTGGCAAGTCATGGTAAGAGGTTTCAGAAAGTTGCCTGAATGGTGTGTGGCGTAAATTGTGGCCTGAGTGCATCAACAGTTTTACGGGATTCACGGATTTAATCCCAGCTGTGAATAAGGATATCCTCAGCTTGGCTAGACAGGCAGGCTTTGATGAGCTGGAATCAGAAGATATTGAGGACGTCCTGGCATCCCAAACAGAAGAGCTCACCAATGAAGATCTGCAACTGTTAACAGAGCACAGTCCCACTGAAGTCGACGATGACGAAGAAGAACCTCAACGAACGCCAACTTCCAAGAGGATGACAGAATCGTTCAACATGTTCTAGCAAGCAATACAAATCCTTATAGATGACGACCCAAACAGAGAACGTAGCTCAATGGTTCAATGCAGCATTGATGACAGTCTTGGTTGTCGTACTGAGATGTATAAGGAGAAGAAGAGTAGCACCAAGCAGTCAACACTGGATTCATTTGTTCATTGCAGGAAGTCAGAAGCAGCTTCTTTAGGGAGAGTGTGGTAAGTATAAGCATAAATGAGCAAAGTTGTATCCCTTCAAGATTACATTACATAACATTTTAAAATATGGAGTGAGAAAGCAGTGAGGTGTGGATGATTAGAGAGATGGAGGCGTATCATATGTCCCAACGGGATGAAGAAACTGCACTATTTGAGACTGAATGTGCGAAGGACCTAGGTATGTATGTTGACAAAGAGCTGAGGTTCTCCGGCCATTGCGAGAAGAAGGTAAATCAGGCAAATAAATTATTGGGTCTTATAAGAAGGTCGTTCAGATATCTAGACGGTCCGTCCCTCGTAATGATCTTCAAGAGTGAAGTGCTTTCCCATCTGGAGTAGTCACCCCCGTCTGGTCCCCGAGATATGCTAGGGACTGTCAGTTGGTTGAAAATGTTCAAAGGAGGGGCCATGAGACTGGTGCCTGCACGTCGGCACCTCAACTGCCCTGAGAGATTTGAGCGCCTGAACTTGACTAGCTTAAACTACAGAAGGGTGAGGGTCGACCTAATTGAGGTGTATAAGCATCTCAAGGGGCACTACTCAGTTGAGTGTCCTTACTTGGAGCTGGCGGACGCTCGCCCCACAAGGGGTCACAGCTCAAGATTGAAGAAACTGCAAGTCCAGAAAATTGTGATGGCAAACTTATTCGGAGTGAGAGTTGTGAACTCTTGGAACAATCTACCAGAAAGTGTTGTGACGACACCGAGTGTGAACTCTTTCAAAACCAGGCTTGTCTAACACTGGAGCAGGTTCAGGTACATTCAGGAGCCAGTGCATGCCCAGTACTTGCCAACAATGCGTAACAGAGACGTGACCGATCGCCCAAGCGGCTAATGAGCCGATCAGTGGTGAAGAGGATAAAAGTAAAGTAAGTTAAGTGAGAGAGGGAAGAGGGGGAATCGAAGTTGACATCATAATATCAAGACAATCGAAGTGCATAGGAGGTATAGTCATACCACAAAAGTGGTAAAGCTCACATTCAGAGGTTTGAACTTGTGGCCGGGTGTCTTATACAGAACATTCCCCGATTGTACATTCAAGATGCTATCTACTGAGTGTGTAAGTGACTGATTGCCATTGGTTAGTGAGCTGACCAGTAGCAAATATAATAAATAGAGAGAGTAATAATCTACAATGACTTTTCAAGTTCACTGACCGACCTCTGCTTTTAAACATTCATACAATTCCTCCTACATTAGCCTAATTTCACTCATTAATATACAGTTTAGCAGTATTCATTACCTTCATATTAAAGACACAGGTATTCAGTGATTCTTCTAGGTCCTTAAGCCGTTTCTGTTCCCTTGTTAAATGTGTCTGTTGAACCTTGTAGCAGTCATCAAGATCCTGGAATTACAAAAATAACTACAACTATTATTCACTGTTTATAATAGTCAGGTGCCAAATCTGAAAAGTGGCTAGCAAAAAATTCTTGAAGCATTTTTTAGGAAAATTGGCAACCAATCTTTTAGGGTGCCGAGTTAAAATTTGCACCCACCCACACACACACGATGATTCTACTCTTCACATTTTTCCCTTCCCACTAATTCTCAAACTAGATCTGTTTCTAGAGCTGATATCATTTCATCTAACAATGCGGATCTGTTCAGCATCTCTGAATGGGGAAGTAGAAACTTGGTTAAATTCAATAGTAATAAAACACAGTATTTACCAATTACACTTTCCAAATTGGATGATCTCCCACCAATCACATTTCAGAATACAATCATTCTGCCAAATTCTAAAATAGATATGTTAGGCCTCACCATTCCCTCTAATATGTCATGGTAGCCACACATCCACAACATTGCTAAAGCTGCATCCCAAAAGCTTGGAATGCTGTACAGATGCCATAGCTACTTCACTCCTGAGCAGTTGCCTCAAGTATATAAGGGCTTCATTCGTCTTAACTTGGAGTACCGCCCTCATACCTGGGGTGGCTTTTCTTCTATCCAACTGTTAGATAGGGTGGAATCAAAGCTATTTTGACTTATTAACTCTCCTCCTCTAGTTGATAACCTCTGTTCCCTATCTCTTCACTGCAATGTTGCTTCACTCTCTCTTTTACATGTATACTTTAACGGGCAATGTTCAGTGAATTTGGCATCCTGTGTATCGCTGGCAAGGCCGTGGACTCGTAACACTCGTCATGCCCGCGGTGCCCACCGTTTCTCTGTGGATGTCGGTCACACTAAAATAACCCGTTATAGTACACCCTTCTTTCCTCACACAGCCAAACTGTGGAATGCTCTGCCTTCTTTTGTGTTTCCATACTCATACAATCTGGTTTTCCGGCATGTTCATGGTGGAGATTATTTTTTTTTCAACCCCCTAGGCCCCGTTGTGGGTCAATGACCTGTGCTATTCCCCGGAAAAAAGGGGGGGGGGGGTCCAACATTGTATTCAATATTTTTCCTCATATCAATGGTATTGTAAATATCTTTTTACTTTTATCCTCTTCGCCACTGATCGGCTCGTTAGCCACTTGGGAGATCGGTCACGTCTCTGATTACTTTTCCTTTTCATTTATCCTCTTCACCAAAAGATCGGCTCGCCAGCCGCCCGGGCGATCGGTCACGTCTGTCACGCACTGTAGGCAAATACTGGGCATGCACCGGCTCCTGAATGTACCTGAACCTGCTCCAGTGTTGGTCAAGTCTTGTCTTGAAAGAGCTCACACTCGGTGCCGTCACAACACTTTCTGGTAGATTGTTCCAAGAGTTTACAACACTCACTCCAAAAAAGTTTGCCCTCAGTTTTCTGGATTTGCGGCTTCTTCAATCTTGAGCTGTGACCCCTTGTGGGGCAAGCATCCGCCAGCTCCAAGTAAGGACACTCGACTGAGTAGTGCCCCCTGAGATACTTATACACCTCAACTAGGTCACCCCTTGCCCGTCTGTAATATAAGCTAGGCAAGTTCAGGCACTCCAATCTCTCAGGGTAGCTGAGGTGCCGAAGTGCAGGCACCAGTCTGGTGGCTCTCCTTTGAACATTTTCAACCAACTGACAGCCCCTAGCATATCTCGGGGACCAGACGGGGTGACAGTACTCCAGATGGGGAAGCACTACACTATTGAAGATCGTTACAAGGGACGGACCGTCTAGATATCTGAACGACCTTCTTATAAGACCCAATAATTTATTTGCCTGGTTTACCTTCTTCTCGCAATGGCCCGAGAACTTCAGCTAATTGTCAACATACACACCTAGGTCTTTCTCACATTCAGTCTCAACTAGTGCAGTTTCTTCATCCCGTTGGGACATATGATACGCCTCCTTACCGTTGGTACACCCCAGGTGCATCCTCTTACACTTCGTGACATTGAATCTCAGCAGCCATTCCTTTGACCATTCCTGGAGCCCAAAGAGGTCCTTCTGCAGCTCTTCACAGTCAGCTTGGTTCTTAATTTCCCGAAATAACTTAGCGCCATCGGCAAACATTTGTATGGAGGAGTGTACAACGTCAGGCATGTCATTTATGAAACAAACAAACAACAGCGGGCGCAATACACTGCCCTGTGCTACCCCACTTGTGACAGGTACTGATGATGATTTCGTGCCATTGATCACCACATATTGCTTGCGGCCATGTAGAAAGTCTTCTATCCATGCAAAGACATTTCCCCGAATTCCGTACCCTTCCAGTTTGATTTTCAGCCTTTCATGGGGTACACTGTCGAAAGCCTTGGCAATTGTGTTAAGCAGGAGCGCCCCGGCATAAAACCGTGTTGGCAATCCTTTACAAGATTGTTTTGTGTTAGATGTTCCATTGCGGCATCTCTGATAATACTCTCAAGTACCTTACATATTATGCTGGTCAGGATCACTGGTCTATAGTTGTTCGTGGAGTGCCGATCGCCCTTCTTGAAGATAGGACTCACATAAGCCACTTTCCATTCACTGGGGACCATTTGTTCATCCAGGCATTTACAAAATAGGATCTTCAGGAGCTCTGCAAGCTCGTTGCACAATTCTCTTAGCACTCTAGGATGCACCATGTCAGGGCCGGGACTCTTATGGACCTTTAGCCTGGACAGTTTATTTCTAATACCCTCTTCTGTGAACACAATGTGGGTCAGTGCTGTGTCGAACCGTCTGTCCTCAAACGCAGGAAGGTTAGTTGCATCCTCTCTTGTGAACACCGAGGAAAAGAAGCTGTTCAATGCCTCAGCTTTATCCTGGTCAGAATCTGCCTAACTACCATCCACAAGCCTCAGGTCTAATACTCCTACTCGCGTTTTCAATTTCGACTTTGCATAGCAATAAACGCCTTTGGGTTTGACTTGACCTCGCTTGCAACCAGCCTCTGGAACTCCTTTTCAGCCCTTCTACACTCTGTCCTTGCTTGGTTTCTGGCTCTTGCATACATCCTCCTGGCTTGCTCATCGTTTAACCCAACCTAACCCAACCCAATTACTGCAATTTTTTTAAAACCTGAACCACAGACTGAAAAAATTATAAATTAGGAAATGGATGACAGATTATAATACTGTAATTATAAAATAAAAGTCGTCCTCTATTATTCTTTTAAGTAGGTACAGTAGGCCGGGATATATAGCGATTTTCTATGAAGATTTTTTTAATATCGCAACTACCAAAATTATCGACATTTTCCAATATATACCGATAAATCTATTGATTTTGTGAGGAAAATCAGGCAGAAAATAATTTCAAATTTACCGCCATGGCAAACAAATGCATTATTTGCTCACCAGAGGCGCCACTGTAGCTGCTCACTCACACATTCACCCACAGTCTTTCTGATTCAGCTCTTGCTACATGCGGAAGCTGCACTCTCACTCTCCAGTCAAGGTCACCACGTGCTCTACTACTGTCTACCAAGATGCCGAAGTGTACTAGTACCACTCCTCCTAGTTCAATGAGTAAAAGAAGAGGAAAACCTTCAACATTGGTGATAAGGCAAAGATTCTGAACGTCCTTGAACATGGAGCAAGTGCCTCTGTTGCCACACGCTGCTATGGAGTTAATGAAAGCACCATTCGTGGCATCAGACAGAAGGCAGACATGATTCATGCAGCATTTGCTAAACTAACAGTTTCCAAGACCACCCAACACCTACAGCCACCACTTTACCAAGAAATAGAAGACACACTCGAGATATGGATTGAAAACATGCAACGCCGTAAAGTTGCTATGTTGGGTCCAATGATAAAAAATGAGGCAATACAAATACACACATGTCTGCTTCAGTGAGAAGGACAGCCAGCAAGTGAATGTAAATTCACAGCTAGCCAAAGGCTGGCTTCACAGCTTCATCAAGAGGGCTGAATTATGCTGCATGTCTCTGTCAGGGGAAGCTGCATCTGCCGACACAGCTGCAGCGGAATAAGTGAAGATAGATGGGAATGAGGCTATACTCCAGACCAAATCTGGAATTGTGATGAGACAGGACTAAACCAGAAAAAGATGCCAAAGAAGACATATTTAATGAAGGCAGAAGACAAAGCTCCAGGATTTAAGGCCAGTAAAGACAGGGTAACAGTGCTTCTCTGTGCTAATGCCGCAGGGACTCGGAGCATGAAACCTCTCGTCATTCACTCTGCTGCCAGACCTAGTGCTTTTAAAAATGTGCTCCTACCTCTTCTCCCAGTCATATGGAAATCTAAAAAGAAAGCCCGGATGACTGAAGATGTGTTTGAAGACTGGTTTATTAATTACGTCATCCCGTACATCGAGAAAATCCATGACAAGGCACTGATCGTCGTGGATGACACCAGTCACTCAGCCCATCTCAACAACATCAACGAAAATATTCAGCTGTTCTTCTTGCCCCCTAATGTCACATCTCTTGTTCAGTCTTTGGATCAGGGAGCCATTGCCTTATTCAAACGTATGTATTTGAAGATGACAAGTAAGCAAATGGCAGATGCATTGATTTCTGACCAAGAACTGACTATCCAGCAATTCTGGAAAAATTTCATGATCAAAGATGCCGTCACAAACATTGCTCTGAGCTGGAAATCCCTCTTTGAACAAGCCTTGACTGGTGTTTGGCATTCTCTGTGGCCTGATGTTGTCCAAACCTTCAAAGGATTTACCAAGGTCAAAGATCTGAGAGAAATAGTACTGCTCAGCAAGAAAATAAGAGAAGATCCAAGGCTCCAATAAGTTACTGAAGATGTGGATGAACTGCTAGAGAGCACGAACAACCCAATAACGACTGAAGAAGCCCTAGAGTTAGCCGAGATGAATAAGAAACACGAGAAAGAGGAGGAAGCCGAAGATGAGGCCCCACATGTAAAGAGCGGAAAATCATGCAACTTAAGGAATACATGTCCTTCACATCTGCTGCCATCAAGTGTGTTAGAGACAACGATCCTGATGTGGAGAGGGCTACAGAGAATGTAAACAGCTTGTACAGGCTCTCTTTTACCTATAGTCATCTGCTGGACAGGAAGATAGCCAACCAGAATCAGAGGTCCATCACTTCCTACTTCCGGCCCCTTTCTCGCTCTTCAGGTAAGTTTAGGTTTGTTTTTTTTTTATTGAAAAAGTGAAAAAAATAGATGAGTTGTATAGTTCTGTCCAGTGGTGGTGAGTGGTCACGAGACTCAGTGCACATGCACTCCACCCTCTTTGCTGTCGGCGTGGAGTCTCTGCCGAGTGCTTTATGCCAAAGATAAAAATTCAGTTTTAATGATTTCTGTGCATGTTGTTTTCTACAGGTGAAGTGGAGGCTGAACCATCTGGGGAGGAAGCAGGGCCAGTGCCGCCAGAGGTGCAGGCAGACATACTGAACCCATGCGAAGAGGAGGAAGGCGATGAAGTTGGTGAGTTATCACATTTACACTCATTTAGGCATGTTTATTTCATATTTCCATGTGAAAAAACAAAACAAAATATGCATGAAAATATGCACAAAACTTAAAATGTTTCATTTACAGTTCCTTGTTCAGGCACGCAGTTGTCGCGTGAAGAATAGGAGGCTGGCTGCGAGTCAAGCAGCGCGAGTGATGAGTCAGCAGCCGACTCTGCTGCAGATTCCGACTTCTACGGTGAGTGTAAATGGGTTGCTAGTGACGTGAAAGGTGAAGTGAAGAGAATGGAAAGCTTAATGGAAAAGATTTAATACTGTAACTAATATTTTTGGTTTGTTCGTTTATGTAGGTGTGCGATTGTCAAGTGAGGGTGGCAGTGTGGTGTCTGCTGCCGAGACTGGTGTTCCTTAGTCTGGTGTTCATTGGTGCTTTAGTTAGTAAGAAAATAAACTTAAGTCAAATTTAGTCAATTTTACTGGCCTCCAGAGCCCAACCCTATTTTCCCCATTGATTACATGTAATTATAAATCGTGATTTAGTATATGGCGAACATCCTTGGACCCTATTTTGTGATATATCCCAACCCTACTGTACACCTAAGATAATATAACGAGAAAAAAACAAGTTTATATCCATCATTCCCTGCTTTCTTCAACATCCCCCCTCTGATGAGCAATTTGTATCGCATACCTTCCTCAAGTCGACCATTTACCCTCTCCAACCCAAATGACTTAACATGATGAAAGGACCCAGCCAGCAGGAGAGGTTAGGTGATGGGGTGGATGATTACTTTTGACCATGACCGTAAAATCCCTCTTTTATGGAGGGAGGAGTGACAGTCAATGCTACCATACTTTATTTTGCTATTACCATATGAATAGTAGCCTTTTAAAAATGTTACCATATTAAAAGCTCAGCCTTGTGTAAATTATATTATATGTAAAAAATATGCCACACTATCACAATAAAACAGGTTAATAATCCATTTTATTTTATTTGGGCTTGAGATTTACCAGTCCAGTCTTATGGTATCCCAGATGTGTATGTATCTGGTAATTTGACATACTATTGCATAAATGCTCTCAAAATCAATATCAAGCGTACAGTGTTTAAAGATATAAATACCTTCTGTTGCTTCTCTTTCCACACCTTTAAAGAGTTGGCATGCAGTTTGGCGTGGGTGGCGAGTTTTCCAGTTGCTGATAAGTGGGCATTCTCATATTCAGTCTGCTTTCCTTGCAGCTGCAAAGAAAGAATTGTTTAATAAAATGAAAGTAGGTCCTATATGCTTGATGGCCTATTAAGGATAGTGTGGTTATAGCACAAAGTATATCAAGCCTTCAGTACATTCGGAGTCTGCATGGCTGGTACCTATTTACAGCTGGGTGGATTCCAGGATCACAAACTAGCAACCCTTAGGACAGGATGTGAATTCTGTATTCACTCAGCCAATGGACCTCTAATTCTATTTTATTTTTTAATGAGATTAGCCTACCTGGGAACAGGTCACCAACCTGAAGGAAAAAAATAATAGAACCAAAAATAAATACATAATGGAAAAATGAAACAAATCAAGAGTGATAAATGATATATATACGTTGTGTAATCAAAGTAAGAGACAAGCGAGACCCTGCAATTATGTGTAAATGAGACAGAAAGTTAGATCAGCAACCTGGGACTTGGTCACAATTTTTGTGTACACAGCACTGACCCACATTTTGTTCACAGAGGAGGGTATTAGAAATAAACTATCCAGGCTAAAGGTCCATAAGAGTCCCGGCCCTGACATGGTACAGTCGGAAACCATAATCTCTAGCCCACCTGGGTCGGTGCTGGAGGTTAGTGCAGTATCCTTTCTGGACGGAGGCCCATTAACTATCACGAGGCAACACACGCACGAACGCACACAGTCATAGTACGGCTGTATAGATGACATTATGTATAAGTATTGTATATGGCATTTTATACTCTGCATTATCTTCATTATATATGAACACGAAGAAAAATTACCATAGGTTGTAGTTACGAAATTATGAATGGAAATAAACACTTCCAAACCACTCAGTGAATCCACACATCGTTTACAGCGCTTGTGTGTGTGTGTGCCAGACCATGATGCTTCCACCACACCCTATCTAGTATATCTTTTATTTTCCCTTCATTTGCATAACTATATGAAAAAGCATGTTTAATTTAACTACATATTTCAAAAATCTTTAATTACGTGTGGATCAGTCACTCCTCATTTGACACACTTATAGTATAATACTTTGACCATTCCACCTGGGCACATGGAGGCCCACGGTAACTCTCACGGGGCAACATACGCACGAAAACACAAGTTATGATATGAATCCTTACTGCGAATCGTTGAAATCGAGAACCGTAAACCCGCGAATGACAAGGGTCTACCGTACAATTTGTGTTATGCAGTGCTGTACATTATTGTACCAGAACAAAATCAGCCAAGAATACAGTGTTAAAGCAGTGTTAAGACCGTAAAAAGTTATAACAGTTACATACATACTACAAGTATAATGTACATTCAGTGAGTGGGAAATTGGAGCACGATACCTTTCGTCTTTATTCAAGCCCTGTTCAGGTCATGAGACCCACTAGTCCCCCACCCCAACAATGGGTGACCTGATATTGCATCAGGTCAGGTCAGTAACATGACCCACTAATCTCCCACATAACCTCTATCACAAGTGTTAAAACGAGATTACAGTTAAGCATTACAGTCAGCTGAGTTAACAGTGTCTGCTGGTGAGTACAGTATATACAGTATGGTAGTACAGTAGTATATATTATTTTGTTTACTTGTCAACAGTGCGTAAAAGAGACGTGACCGATCGTCCATGCAGCTAATGCGCCGATCAGTGGTGAAGAGCGTAAAAGTAAAAAAGGATACAGCTTCACAGTATGAATTTAAAAAATCTCAACCAATCTTCAAGTTTTACCATTTTTGCATTTGTATTTTCCAAAACACCTTTAATTTCTAAGAACTTTTTAAGAGATGCATTGGACTCAACAAGTACTGTATAGATTTTTCTTTCTGTCACAAATTTGCCTGACTTTCCCTGACCTGTGTCCTGTGGCAACCCTGTGAGTTCTGTTAATGCATAGCCAATTAAAGGGGAATAATAAATATTAAAACCTTAATACTGTACAGTTATACATTATATAATTAAACAATAATAAAATATGTACAATAAAAAACAATATTTTGCCATATTTCCAGCTATAGTCATAACCATAATTTAAAAAGTTAGTGGATGTGGCAGAAGAAGAATAAACATCTAGCATAGTAGGGAAGAAGGGAAGGTAAGCTTTCTGGCAAAGGGGCAACAGTCTTAAAAAGGGAGACAGATAAAAGGAGTACAGTATTGTGAACTAACCATTTTATATTTGTCCAAAATAACTTTGTGGATTGTTTTTGCACTCCAAAGGAGCCCATTGAGGTCATGGAAAGACCTCATACTTAAAGAGGCAAGGGATTCATCATATGGCAAGTTTTCACAGCCTTCTAAATTAAATGCCTTAGCCATTGTAGCATCTGTACCTACAAAAAACAAACAAACAATTAGAGGCATAGCATTCACACAAAGATCATAAACAGTTCTATACAACAAACCGAGAAGAAATGGTCGGATCTTGAAAACCCATTTTATAACAGCCAGTAAGGATCACCTGGATTATAATGTACATCAATTCTTATGGGGTTTGGAGTAGCTAGCTGGGGCTATATGGGCCTGCATATATTACTGTATTACAAATTTGGGACTGAAAAAAATCTGCTCGAACCTATTTCTGGTTAAAAAACAATAGGAGAGGGGAATGATCATAAATACCGATTTGATGCTGATGGGGCTGATGATGTACAGTACACTCCTATATCCTAAATCATTAGCTAAAACCTAAATTTGGCAGCATGAATTCCTTCTCAGAATGCATGAAAAGTATGATGCATATGGATTCCGCCCAATTTGACCATCATGAGAAAATTAATAAGGATGACCTGGGAATGGTGCTGAAAGTAAAGGAAACATGATAAATCCATTCTCTCCCAATCCAGCAACAGATGACAAGCTGATCAACATTATGACTGACAAAACAATTTCCTCAACAGAATTGATGCAAAGAAACTTAGTTTGAAATCAATCGCAGCTGCTAGTACAGTAAAGAGTTCCTGTACTTTTAATGAAGATAATATCACCCAGCCAAAGATAGTGACATTTGCTACACAATGCAAGCCAAGCAAACAGAAGTGCAACAGCATAAGGTAAATCCTCCACGAGGAAAGAACTATGACGCGGGCTCTGTTTCACCAGGAGGTTAGTGATGAAACTAGGACTGAGGCATTCAGTTATAATTGGCTGGAATATCCCCCATCACTGTTCAAGCTGGATAAGAAAGAAATTGAAGGCAAAGGATCCAAGTCAGACTTCAACCTCGAGAGTTTTATCTCAATTTTTATTTGTTGATGTAAAAGTGTAATTACTAACCTTGTTACAAACTTAACCCTTTCACCGCATGGCTCAACTTTATTCACATTTTAATTTTTGTCCTTCACCGAGTAAATCGACTTTAGTCCACATTCGTAAAAAACATTCCGTTAACGAGTAGCTCGACAACAATCCTTCAAGGTTTGAATTACGTGCTAGCCCAGTATAGCTGAAAAATTTTTGAAATCTGACCACAATGATGGGCATTTTGAGGCCATGTGCACTTGAAATTTGGAGATATTCTGAGGTAAAAATTAATTTCTTTTGGTATTATTTCACTTGTTGCCACTACATCATCTCAGGAATTTTATACTGTAGTTGCAATCAATAGTTTTAACAATTCCAACACACTTTTCTTCAATAGCACTTCTAGCGCAAATTACATTTAAACAAGACATTTATCATTTTATTGTGTATGTGGCGGTACACACGCAAAACATCAAACGACTGTGGAGCTCCCCAGTTAGGTTAAGTTGGTTAGGGTTTTATTTTCCAATGGTTTTCCATGTATTTTGAACAATTTCTACCTTGATTTTTACAGCAAATCTTTAGATTCTGAGATGGGAGGGGGGCTTATCTCTGAAACTGTTGATTTGAGCCAGAAATTAAGGTTAAATTCGTTCATAACACATCAAAAACCATAGGAAAAACAGAATTTCAACTTTGATTTCATGTACTCGCAACAAGTGAAATTTTACCTTAATTTTTACTTTACAAAAATGCCCGAGTACAATACTGCATTAAATTTGGTATTATTTTACTTTAGGACATAGCGCACCATAAAGTTATAAACTACCGAAACATTTAGATCTCCCTATTCTGAGCATTTTGAACCCGTTATAATAGTCGGAAATGGAAAATAGCGACACAATTGAATTTAATTTATTTTACGTAATATTCAGTCTTCGTCTCTGTGAGGAGTGTTATCTGCATGTAACCAAGTTAATTAAGCATCACGCATGCGCAACATTGACTGACGCCATCCGGTCATGACCAATGATGTAGTGTATCAATATCATCACACGTTTTTTTTTTACCAATCACATTTGAATTTTTTCAAAGGAAGCAGCCTGGGTACAGATTTGAATTTCAATGACCAGTGTGACAATGGCAGTGGTGGAGGTTGGTTGTGAATCGTGCTCCTATGATTATTTTAAGTTTATTGCAGAGTTTTACAAGAAAGACGATCATGCTATCCAATTCCTACATAATCACGGTGTTCTCCCTACGTCTGTCGAGTGCCTGCACTATAAATTGCCTTGTAAATTCCGACGACGAGGAGGTCGATGACCCTGAACCTATCCCTGGACCTTCCACTTCTAGCTAAGGTATTGTACTTTCGGACATGGTGCGCCCCAAAGTTTTAAACTACTGAAACATTTACAACTCCTTATTCTGAGTCTTTTGAAACCTATTTATACTAGTTGGAAATTAACAGGATAGGGTAGGTTAGCTTAGTTTAAGCTAGGGGTTGGGTTAGGTTTGGTTAGGTCAGATGACTCATTTTCTCCCCCACCCAAAACCCCAATTTCCCAGGCTCTCCCCCCATTATTGTGGGGGGGGGGGGGCAAAAACGACCAATTTCCGCCAAAAATAAAGGTCAGATTCGCTTAAAACACATCAAAATACACTGGAAAAACATATTGGTTAACGCCTAGGGACTCTTGACCTAAAGTATAAATTGGTTAATATATAGAACTAACCCGCCAGGGCTGCATTGCGCCGATGCGGCTGTATAATCTCATGACTAGAAAATTGGGTATTATTTTCTTGTAGCACCGTTCATTCCTACCACTAATATATTATCATATTCGAATAAGACGTCTAATTATAAGATAATTTCCATCTATTACATTACCGGCAGAAATGTATAATAACGGAGATAGCTTTTCCAAAATATTTTCTATTTTCTTCCATTAACATCCCACCATTATCGTCTGCCTCTCCTCCAACACTGCGTGTCTCCTGCGTCCCCTTCATAAATCATCCTGCGCATGCGTTGCTGTACACGTCACGCGGTCAATCAAAAGCCTTTTTTATTTTGAAACCAATTAAAATGTTTTTGGGTTTAATTCGCGGTATTTTTGGCCCAATCAAATTCGAGTATTCTTTTTGGGCTCTCATATTTTGAAATTCAAGTTCAGTTCTGACCATGGAAGTCTGCGATGGGTGTCACTTAAAGTATATGGAGCTGATTGCAAGTTTTTGGTATAAAAACGAAGAAACTACAGCATTTTTTCGATCGCATGGTGTTCTTCCAACTTCAGTAAAGTGAACTAAGAGCAAGACTGAATGTAAATATCGCAAAGACCAACATATGTGGAGTTGTGTAAGAATCCCAGAATGCAACGACGAACAAGAACCAGGCCAATAAGGTAAGAAATAGGTGATTCCATCATATGGTGAGAGTCAGTTAAGTTAGGTTAGATTAGGTTAGGTTAGGTTATTGTTTTTCAAGTGTTTTATTGTGTATTTGTTAGTCGCTTAGGCACTTAATTTTCTCGGAAAACGTCAAACAAATAAAATTCACGTTAAAAACAAACGGCTAATTTCCGCCAAAAAGGAAGGTCATATTCGGTCTCAGCACACACAAATACACTAGAAAAATATATTTTTAACTTGCTACAAGTGAACGGTGCTACAAGAAAAATTTACCGAAAATTGCCTCAAATTTCACCATATTATAGTAAGTTCTTTCTGTTTAATATACCGGGGAAGTTAGGTAAGGTTAGGTAGGTTTGTTTAGTTTGGTTCATTAGGTCTGTTCTTCATAACCACAAATGTTAATTAGCGTTTATTTTAAAAATATCAATTTTTTAACATATTTTCACAAACTATAACAGTGTACACTATAATACAACAAAGAAAATCTGGCATTTTTATAATTGTTTTCAATCAATTTTGTTTGCGGGTTAGTCCTATGTAATTACCTAAAAATTTAGCTAAAATTTTATCAAGAAAAATATTGGACTTTTCTGATGAACAAGGGGGTCCGGAAACCACCACCACTCCCCCCTTGGGTTACCTGGCCATCTAACATAAAGACTAACATGCAGGACTGGGGTCGGGACTCGGGAGCCATAGCCTTCCAGCACATAAACAAATGGGCAAGTATTTAAACCTGAAAGAAATTTATTAAGTTCACATTAACCTATTTCATTTCTACAAGACAATATTGTAGTCCTCCTTTACTGGCGGATACAGTCATATGGATTACAAATACTATACAGTAGCTAAATGACAAATTTACAATTGCTCTACAATGACCTTCATTGACACTTTAATATGATTTCAATAATGAACTTGCATATCACATCGATACTATTTCATATTTATAAACACCCTGACCCCAGTCCATAACACTGCTAAGGTAATGTAGTAAAAATATAATGGTAGAGTGTCACACAAGGCACACCAACTTTTCAAACTATCGTGAGACAACCACTAATCCGCCGACTGTCCGACGGAAATCAGTGTTGCCAGGTCTCCTCGGCCAAACTTCCCTAGATTTGCCCTAAAAAAATCCCTTTGTATATGTATGTATGTATATATATATATATATATATATATATATATATATTGCTAATAACCACGTAAGAAAAAAGAAAGCGAGATGTTCCCAGCGCTTTCGTGTAATTCACATATTCAGGGGTGAGTACTCATGGAACTACAACCCTTATTCATAGTGACTATAAATATCATTTTAAGGTTCAGATACGATTTCAATGAGTTTGATCCTTCTAGTCAAGTTGAGAGTAGAGGTCACCAAGGGGTTATTACCGTATCTATAACAGACCCCAGGGCCAGTGGTCAGGGTCACGAAGGGTGTATATAATAGACCCCAACGCCAGTGGTCAGGATATTTTGGCATTGGCTGTTAAATAGTGTATTGGATTCCTCCCCTACAAACGCTGTTTGTCGCTGAGTAGCCACCCCGCGAATTCCCCAGTGTATGCCTCGTGGTCTAGGTCAACCAGCGCCGCCTTACATGACGGAGGTCAACTATTAAGCCACGCCTACCCCCGCTATATAAGACCTGACCTCGTGGTGA